CAAGCCGGAGGTGCACAGGTGAGCAGTTGACGGAACTACTACGACGGCGAAGACAAATCATCGCAGGTCAATACGTGCTGGAGTTTGAATTGCGACCGGTTCGACGAGTGCAACGTGACGAAGATGGCGCTGGAGACAACGACGCAGCTGACGGACGACGGTGGGTTTCGCTCGCTGAATATGACGAGCTCTATCAAGCCGGCAGAGTCGGGGACGACTCTGAATGTGGGGAAGGCGTGAAAATGGTGGGGTACACGAGTACCCGATGGAGGCGAAGATCGCGAGCAAGTACGTGGAGTCGTTGAGTCGGAGATCTACGGACGACGGTTGCCAGCAGTGGAAGTGTGCCACACAAGAGTGATCTTTGTGCTGAAGGGTCGCGAAGAGGGACGAAACGACGGAAACGGATGGCTGGGAGGGTGTGACGGCCTTTGGACGGAGACGGTGGGTGAAGGGGAGTCTTGAGCACGAGTAGATCGGACTCACTCTGCAATTGGCACTCGACGGTGCAAAAGGAGAGTAACCAGTATTCGCGGCGTGCGCGAAGTGCGCAGCGGACGGCAACTACCAGCGGGTGTTGCGAGACGCCCCGTTGACGAAGCGTACTACGGTGCGGGTGAAGAGCACGAAGTGCAGGAGCTCGTGGCGTAACACAGAGAGTGGTAGACGTGCCACAAAGCGAGGAGAAGGCGACTGACGACGGACGAGTGAGGTGGTGGTGTTGCAGGCGGTGGATCGACACTATGCAGTGCCGTTGACCAAGGGTTAGCGGCGTTGGTTGGGGACTGAACGCGGGTTCTGTGAACGACGGTAGTAACTCGGACGGAGCAGGCGCACGTTGAGAAGACGAGACGAGAGCGAAGTTAAGAAAGAGAATAAAAGTAGGACGAAGCACGACGGTGTGGAGTCCGGCGCGGTGTACCGAGCCAACAGCGTGTTGTTATTATTCTTACAGAGGTGACGGACTTACGACACCTGTGGCAAACCTGCAGCGAACAGCACGAGCATACTTCCCGCTGAAGGTGAGCGAGAACGCACTCGTTATACTACCACAACAATAAAATCGTTAAAAATACCAGATTAGTGTATGTGTATGGGCAACGTTCTCTATTACTTGACACTTTTATTTGTGCTGCATTTTGGTCTTGTTGGGACTTCAAACCATCTTGCAATCCACCGAATTGGACTATCGGATCGCATGGATTGCGCGATTGCAAAGTTCTGCAATAGACTGGCCAATCCCAGAGCGAATTTGGGATTACAATCAGGGTTACGAACTGCCCTTATCGCTGAAATAAAGTTCAGAGAACACAAACTTACTTTTGATCAAATTTACGTACGCCACAGGTGGATACGACAGCACATTACGCAGCGATGCTGACGACGGAGCAAGATATGATATAATGTGGGAACGTCCACGAGAGGAGTCAGCGCCACCAAGGCAAAGAGAAAATCACCTGACGCTTCAGAGAAGAAACTGACATAAACCTAATACACTTTACCGATTGCAATTTTACCGAGGACAATCATTCCACAGACCGACGAACAAAGTTGTCAATTCATTCAAACTTCGAATAAATATTGGCAATTTGTGCAACAATACGCGCTACCACTTTATGATTGGTGGAAATACAGAGTGAAATTATATTGATTTTTGTATGTTACATGGATAACACACGCTGCCCTGCTTGCTTGATGACAAGGATGTCAATGAGCTTGCAGAGTAGATAGGCTCGTACACCGACGGACAGAATGCAACAGCCACTGTATATACGATTTTGAAGCCTCTTTTATTAATCTGCAGGCATCTGCAAATTAGGAATTATTCCGAATTTCCTAATAATTCTATTCATAATTGTATATAAAACTGTGTACATACCACTCTCCCTCTTGCAGGTATATCTAAATCGATCAACTCAAGATATTGCTTGGATTGCGGCATTCTATCGCATTGTGTACCTGTTTTCTACCATTCTGAGCCTCTTGCTTGGTTCAAAGGCTGAGGGCATAGGCTGCAAGCTCAGCGTCAAAATCATTTATCTGAGACACAGACATAGTAGAGATTCTGAAGATGTTAGCCTGAAGATGATACTCGTGATTTCACGAGTTGAATGCGTTATACAGATGCCGTGCGTAACGTTCAACAATACCAGAAATGGAATATTCTTCAATGTCTTTTCAAATTGGTCACGGCACGGATTTTATGTTATTGGTAAGGGGGTCTCTGCATTTTAGTTCTCTAACCACCAACGATCTAGAACAAGTCTATTCTGTGGTGAAGTATCAGCATCCCTGCGTATTCGTTGCCTGCACAAATGTTGAACATACAAGTCAGGATTAACAGTCAATCTTGCGTGCGTGCCCTTCGCTGGTGACGGGCTACTGGCAGATGACTACATTCGTAAGGCTATCATCCCAGAAGACACTTACTACAGTATGTTTTCTGTAGTAAGTGTCTTCTGGTCCTACTACAATGAAATGCCATGGCAATTTGGCTACGAGTGGAATTCGACAGCTAGCACGTAGTGCCTTCTGTTCTAGATATAATCTTACGGAGACATCGAACAACTCCATTTCAGGTGCTGTTCACACGTAGGGAAGGAGAATGAATTTGCAACCTTCACGCCAAATAAGGCCTTCTAATGGCTCTTTTGAATACGAGAGTTCATTAGTGGCATCTTGAACACAGGAAATGCATACATCATATAGTACGGGTGCATAATCTTATGAGTGAATGAGTCATCACGGAGCATATGCCCCAACACGAAGTAGAGCGGCGACTGAGATTGTTTCACTGTGTAAACAATCCCGTGAGTCAGTCGGACTTGGTACAATCCACGACCTTACCGGTGCCATATATTAATGCGGTGACATGAATCTTGCCGAGCGAGGGCACAGAGCCCGACTCAGCGAGCGGAGACTTTATGAGCTGTATCTGGAGCCACCCCAAGAGACGTTGCAACTGAGAGAACGAACTCCAGACAAAAATAAGTCGTACTGGCCCTATTGATGATACTGAATCATGAACTGGACGTCCCATTTCCTCCACGATTTCTTGTACAGTCGACCTGCTTCACGGACATCTTCCTCACAATAGAGTACCCGTTGTATGCACATTTGGCGCCAGGACAGAAGCTCAGTCCGGATTTTCCAAGCAAACGTTGTTAACCATGATTCACGTGGGGGGGCTGAGGCGGCGCTGCTTAAAAACAGGAAATCAGGAAGTTCAAGGCATCCCTTTCAAGGGTAACGATAGATACAACGTCCCACTTTCTCACGGTTACCTTCAAAGGGAAAAAGTCAGCGGCAAGATGGGTCGATGGGCAGGTACTGGCAATGAGGATGCTGTGTTTGGTCGATTATGAAAGAATACGAGAAGACGCAAAACTAACCCACGCATCAATCAAGCTCGATTATTACAGGTTTACAATGACAGTGAGGAAGGGGCTGTGACGACGTCGGATACGCTCTGGCTGCATGTAACACAAGCCGATGCGAGGACCGGGAGAGTGAACGGGCAGAAAACCGAAGAGGCGAAGACGCGAAGACGAAGAGGAGAACCGAAGCTTGCGGTGCTCCCTAGCACTTGCGAAGAGGAATGGAAGTTGAAAGGTGATTGGTTGATCGGCAACGGGGGTAGAGGGGTCTTCCTATCCAGCATACGAGCAGAGGGAGGGCGTGTCACTTGTACTGTTCGTAGTGATAGGCGTTTGATAGATCACACAGCCAATGCTTATTGGCAACGTAGATACGTACACAAGTATCCAGGTCTCATCCTAAAACCTATCAATCTCAAATCCTAATTCTATCCAGATTTACCAATGAAATTCTGCTAATCCTAAACGTAACTTGAATTCAGCTTTCCGGAATTTTCTTTTAGCGTCCCATAATCGAATATCCGGTTGGCAAACCGAATTGTTGCAAATCCACATGATTTTCAACCAATGAGATTGTAAGAAATGTAACACATGCACGCAAGATTACTCTAAAACCGAGTAAACTTCTAGAGTGCTTAACGAGGTAGTTTACTGCCGTGTCATTGGCAGAGACAAACGCGTCACATGACCTCCCTTCCAAGAAGGCCCCACTACTTCGAAGATCTGTTGGTCTTCTTCTTGGATTCCCAGTATTAATTTATGACAGAACATCAACAAAGTCATATTGACGGATGGCACAGAAGATCATCTTTTCCGGGATGTCATTGGTCACCGACGTGTGAGAAAGAAACTTCAGTACAAAATTTGCCCCCTCGACAATTTCAGTTCATACGAATCTTTTTGAACCTGCTTCACAATGGGGTATGGTCCAATAAACCTTGGTGCAAGTTTCTTGCCTGAGCAAACCCTTTGTGGCGAATATCCAATTTTCGGTCATCAAGGAGTACTAAATCTCCGGTTTTGAAGTGCTGAACAAGTCTTTTTTTGTCATAGTACGTCTGGGCCTCACTCATCGCATCTTGCCCCATCTTCAAAAGTGCATCTTGCTTCACAAGAAATTCTTGAACTGTCTTGTTTAGCTGATCAAATTCTGGGTCCCTTGTTACATCATCAGGCATATAGGGCACATAACCCAGATCAGCTTCAAACGGTGACATTCCGATCGATGAGTGGACACGTCGGTTGTAGGCAAACTCTGCTAGATGCAAATATTCATCCCAATCATTCTGGGCGGGGTTGACAACACCTCGTAGGTAGTCTTCGACAAACCGGTTTGTACGTTTGGTCTGGCCATCAGTTCCAGGCGAAATGCAGACGATACTTGATGCGCCGTTTCTAGCGTCGTAATCACATCTTGCCAAAACTTAGACGTGAATTTCGAATCTCTGTCCGGAATAATTGATTTAGGCACTCCGTGGTCTTCTACATAGTTGACCATGAACAGCGTAGCAGTATCTTCTGCTGTTGCTGTCGTATTGGCTGCGATGAACTTTGTGCGTTTCGTCAAGCGGTCCACGATAGCCATAACGGCATCTTTCCCCGCTGTTGTTCGTGGTAATGCAGTCATGAAGTCCATCGAAATATCAACCCATCTACCTTCTGGAATCTCCAATGGCTGAAGGAGTCCAGGGGGCTTTGTTTGGCGTGCTTTATTGCGCTGGCAAAGTTCACGTAGCGCTGAATATACTTTGACATCTTGGGCCAGTAGTACTTCTTCTGGACACCTAAGTATGGCTTGAAATACCCAGGGTGACCTGCCGTGACCACGTCTTGGTTTTCACAAATAACACGATTCTTCATATCTTCATTATCCGGAATCACCAGTCGCGAGTTTACATCATCACGTGTCTGGTAGTAAAGTACTCCATTGTTCACAGAATATCGTGGTACCTCTTTACCACTGAAATATATCCTTAACCCGAATGTCCGTAGAGTAAAGTTGTTTGGCCGAGTGTGCTACTGTGACACTCGTAGTCTGGATACTGGAAAGTATTTCCCTGTTGCGTGCAGCTTCAATTAGCTCACTTAGGCTAACCTGCGCGGCCTTATGCTCAAACAATGGGTTTCGAGACACTGCATCTGACATCTGATTACTGTCTCCAGGAATCCACTTGAATTGGGGATGTAATTCCACGAGCTCATTAAACCATCGAGCAACACGACGGTTTGTTGTCTTCTGCGTCAAGATAGGCTCAATACTCTTGTGATCAGTCTCGCCTGTGAATGGGGAATCACGCAGATACACGCACCAAACCCGAAGTGCATGCATGATGGCTAGCCGTTCCTGTTCTCGGACAGGATAGTTCAGTTCCGCAGGTTTCATCTTCCGACCAGTATATGCAATTGGATATTCCAACCCTCCCTCGTTTTGAAACAAAACTCCCCTTGTGGCAAACTTTGAGGCATCCATGCGGATACTAAATAGTTTGTCGAAATCAGGAAGTTGTAAGACTGGAGGTGTTGAAAGTCGACGTTTAAGTTCGTCGAAACACTCAAGTTGATGATCGGTAAGATGCAAGGCTTCTTTCTGGCGTAAGCCCTTAGTACTCTCATGCAATGGCCCTGCAAACTGTGCAAAAGCAGCGCAAAACCTCGAGACATACACTGTCGTACCCAAAACACTTTCCATCTGTTTCTTGGTCCGTGACACAGGCCATTCCTTGATAACACGTACTTTGTCTGGATCCATACGCACACCGTTACGACCAACAAAAATCACCAAGGCAAGGGATTTTTTTCAACACAAAATTGGCGCTTTGACAGCTTCACATACAATTGCTGTTCTTGGCAGAGCATAAGCACTCGATCCAGAGCTTCTACGTGCTTCTGGACATTTTGATCTTGCGTGTACACGTAAATGTCATCAAAGTATATGCGCATGACATCACGCAAGTCACAGAAAACACGCTGTGGCAAACGACTAAACGTGCCAGGGCTTCCACTCAAACCCATTGGAGTGATCAGGTACTCAAAGAGGTCGAAAACGCCGTAAATGGTATATCTGATTCACGTAGTTTGACTTGATAGTGTCCCCACAATAGATCCATACAGGAGAATCAATAACTACCGCAAATCCCATCAAACGTGTATTTCTTCCTGAGCATTGGAATAGCAGGCAAAATAGTTACACTGTTAAGTTAACGATAATCGTGGACAATGCGCCACCCAACCGGTTTCTTAACGCAAACCGTAGGCGCACAAAATGCCGAGGTGTAGGGACAAATTATTCTAGCCATCCCTTTTGCCCAGTCTTAAATCACCTTACGTTGTTCAGGGCTTTGTCGCTATTGCTTTACCGAAATAGGTTGTGCTCCAGGGTGGAGCTGAATTACATGTTCGATGTCCTCACGAACGGGAGGGGTCGAGCTCGACAGTTCTGTCGAAACCCCGTATCGCGGTACTCGACTAGGACGTCATACGCTGGATTGGCCACTAATGCGTCCCATCCTTGTTGCTTAAAACGTTCGGCCTATTCAGAGAGGTGTGGATTAATAGCAAACACAGCTTCGACGCCCTTGCCCTTGTGTAGTTCTTTGAGAAACTGCTTTGACGAAATGATTTTAGTCTCACCAAATGCTCCCGAGTGGCCATGTTGTCTATCGTAATGCATTATCTCACGGTCTTGACGAGCATTCTTGAAATGACGACCCCTATCATACGAGCGGGAGGACGCTTAAGAATAACCAACTGCAAAGGTGGCTCCTTGGTAGTGGTTCGAGGACGCAACAACTAACGTTCCCAATCGATGTCGAGATTGTTTACTCACAACCATTTCATTCCCAGCATAACGTCTTTTCCTTCAGGGACAGGCATGGCCGGGAAAGTCTCACACGTTTCCGGGAAACCAGGGATTTGGAGTTTCATCTCGACTGTACGCTTTGGACGTTGTACTGTCTGGTTGTAGCCCAACATAACCGTCATTAAGTCGTCTGGATGTTCAATAATGTCTAGCTACAGTTGATTCACTAATTCTTCAGTGCCTCCGTTTACACTGCTGCCATTGTCTACAAAATTAGACACTGCACTCGGCGGTTCCGACTCCTTCAAAGCCCACGCACTTACTTCGAGAATTGCGAAGAACGACACATAACGATTGGTTTCCTTGTTAGCTTTACATTGCGGCTTGATATGACCCAGCTGCCCACAATTATGACAAGTGGCATTCTTAGTCCACTCATCTCTCGAACCACCTTTTGAAGTATTTTTCCGACCCATCGACTTTTTCGGATTTCCGAGGGGGGTTAGAACTTGTAGATGGCTTTGACGTGGCTGGACCCGCATTGACCTTTGCAGGCTGCCCCCATACTGAGCGAACTCAAAGTTCACGGCAATTTCAATGACTTCATGCAAGAACCTTGGACTCAGTTCTTTCACCTTCTTAGCTGTTTCAGCACGAAGTCCATTCTGGAAGTAGAACCGCTTCTCTATTTCAGAAATCTCTAATTCAGGTTGAGACATCAAGTCCTGAAACGAAGATACATAGTCATGGATCGTTCCTTGTTGCCTCAACTGAAACAGACGCTCACGTAGGTTGTACTCAAAGTCCTTAGGACGGAAACGTTCCCGCAATTTTAACTTGAACAGTTCCCAGGTCTTTGGCGTTATTACAGCTTCACAATCAGACGAGAAAGCTCGATACCAGTTAAATACAGACTTGCCTAAACTACTTGAGATCATGGGCACAAAATCGGACGTATCGGCTTCCATTAAACCTCGTTTGTTGGCGTAGTATTCTTCTGTAGCAAAATCCCACAGTTCTAAGTCTTCACCAAACTTCCCTTCATATGTTGGAGGATCCTTTTTACGTCTATCGCCTTGTGAAGCCAGAAGTTACTCAAATCGACTATTCGCTTGTTGCATTTGCATTTGAAACTGGGTTTGCATCTGCTTTTGATACATTTGTTGCTGTTAAGTAATCCATAACATTAACGGTTGCATCGACATCGATTCAGGTGCGAGGTTTGGCATTCCATCCGTTGGTACGTCACTACGAGCTTCCTGAGTAGCCGTTTCCGTTTGCTTCCCTCGTGGCACTTGGCACGGCCGTGGATTCAGCAATTCACTGTCACTCGCCCTACTCCTTGTCACAGGCATAAGGGGTAGGATTTGCGAATTTTTCGGTGAGTGACCCGTAAACGGAAAAATTAAACGGAAAAGGTAGTTAGAAGTTCAAAACGTTTTTATGGCTTATTGATGGTTTGGCTTTACGTGAATAAGGCGATTAAGCTTGACACCAATGTTGTCTTCGCAAGCCAGTATGTTGAGGTACGCCTTGTTCAAAACGCTGTTAACGTTGCTTTCAACCTCGGCTACTTGAATCGTCCACGTCTCTTTGCGAAAAACGGCAAGAATCCGCTTAGTCCTTTTGACTTGATTCAAGGGGTCGACTTGCAACTTATCGAACTTAGCGGGGTCACCAAGTCCCCAAATAAGATCTTTGCGAATAGCAGCAATTAGCTGAGGAGCGGGCTTTGGCGCTGACGTCGATGAGACTTTGACGTTCCGCTTGCTCTGCTTTTTACTGCTTTGACTGTGACCCTTTTTGAAACGGGCCATATACCAAACGGGTGGGTACACGAAAAGACAAATGAAACCACCGGGTAGCCAAGGATGCATTTGCTACAACACCGTTCCGCTTGAGCAGACACAGTGAAGGCACCTTGGCACTAAACCGACTTCTAGTGGCAATCCAACGCAACTAAAGAGCGTAGGACACTTCATATCTTGGCGGAGACAAAATACCTACGTGGTATTTTCACTGGCCTGATAGGAGCGTAGTGTCTTACGACTCAGAAAAAGCGTACCAGATGATCAGCACGTTCCCAGCTAAGGCTTCCCCAGGCTCCAACAACCGCAGTAATACTCACTTCCCACGATGTGGCCACGAGCAAAACTTTAGTTGACTTGAACCAAAGCTTGACACGACAAATGCTTCTATGTAACACAAGCCGATGCGAGGCCCGGGAGAGCGAACGGGCAGAGAAACGAAGAGGCGGAGACGCGAAGACGCGAAGAGGAAGAGGAGAACCGAAGCTTGCGGTGCTCCCTAGCACCTGCGAAGAGGAATGTAAGTTAAAAAGCGATTGGTTGATCGGCGAGGTTAGTGTCGGCGTTTGCTAGGGCGCACAGCCAACGCTTCTAGGCAATGTAGATACGTACACAAGTATCCAGGTCCCATCCTAAAACCTATCAATCCCAAATCCTAATTCTATCAAGATTTACCAATGAAATTCTGCTAATCCTAATCGTAACTTGATTTCAGTTTTCCGGAATTTTCTTGTAGTGTCCCATAATCAAATATCCGGTTGGCAAACCGAATTGTTGCAAATCCACATGATTTTCAACCAATGAGATTGCCCAAATCTCAATGTTGACGCGGCAACATTTTCAATAATTATTTTGCCATACTGTCTCAGCCAATAGGACTGCAAGTAAGAAATGTAACACATGCACGCATAGATTACTCTAAAACCGAGTAAACTTCTAGAGTGCTTGACGAGGTAGTTTTCTGCCGTGTCATTGGCAGAGACTACCGCGTCACACTGCTTACTCACAATCTGGGACTTTAAGTGCAATCGATGGCACACCCAAAAAACCGTTTCAATGGGAATCAACGACAAGCAGTGGATAGTTGCAGTAGAAACCAAAGCGTGTCCCTCTCACATCAAAGACATTGCCTTTGCCGCTACTGATGAAACGGAGATCTTGATCCATCATCATGAGGTTCAAGTTATTTGGCCATGCATGGCATGCCACGATCCAGAACATCCTACTAAATATTGTAGAACGGATACTACCGAGCTGAACACAAGAAAACAGGATTGATCATTACGATATGGCGTAAAGCTACCGTCACGTTTGGGAAAAGGAAGCAGGACGTATAATATCAAGATGGCCCCACAACACTAGAACAGTTAGAGGTAATGATGGACGGAGAAGGGGCAATTAAGCAGCACGAGAAGCAAGGGTCTTCAAGGCGTGAATCCGCGGACACAAACCACAATTGCAAGCCAGTATCGCAATGCAAAGGAAGGGTTCAAGTGGCATTACCGAGGAATTTCCATATCTCAACTGTTTTAAGATTTATTTTTCGGATTGTGATAATTGCGCATTACCGGCTCAATTCATAGCCCATTATGAATAGTAGTTATTTCGTTTTTAATAGTACTTCAGGTACTAATTTATACATGAATACAATACTACTATATGAATTGTTGACGGCGGTTGCCTAAAGACAAACTATATAATATAATATAATATAATTTTGTACTGCATTTCTACAGTTTGTTTCAGCACGAGTTATTACATATCCAGCCATCTCGTTTTTGTATAGTTTGGTTGTTGTGACACTTTTCGCGGTTATATATTTTTTAGCTTGTGAGGAGAAGGTAGAACAGACTAACTTCATTACCACATTCTACAAGGAAATTTACGGAGTCGTTTCATCGCCTCTTCATGTCCGGTACTGTAAGGAAAATCGGAAGTAATTTATTTTAGCTAGCGTAGTGACTGGAATCTGAAAGCCTACGAGCTGTTCGCAATGATCGTGGTGGATCTTCCAACAGGTACTTCCTGGTTGCGAGGCCACATCAACGGGCTGTCAAAACAGATTGGGAATTCTCATTTGAAAACCACCACAATATTGCGACTGCACGTGTCTACGATATGGCCGTAAAATTATTCATCCTA